CTGTTAGGCATGGGATGGGACCACTCACTATTACTCCCCGCGGTATCGTCAATGTCATGCCTCCTTGCATCTAGTACAGGTGAGCACTTGAACGCAAAAGTGCCTAACACTCACCTGGTCTCCTTCTGCAGCGTTGGCGTTGGGTTGTTGACCGTGGACAACGGTGAGTACTTGAACGCAAAAGTCCCTAACACTCACCTGGTCTCCTTCTGCAGCGTTGGCGTTTGGGTCATTTCCCGCCTGGACAACGGTGAGTACTTGAACGCAAAAGTGCCTAACACTCACCTGGTCTCCTCCTGCAGCGTTGGCGTTTGGGTTGTTGACCGCCTGGACAATGGTGAGTACTTGACCGCAAAAGTGCCCAACACTCACTGGTCTCCTCCTGCAGCGTTGGCGTTTGGGTTGTTGACCGCCTGGACAATGGTGAGTACTTGAACGCAAAAGTCCCTAACACTCACCTGGTCTCCTCCTGCAGCGTTGGTGTTTGGGTTGTTGACCGCCTGGACAATGGTGAGTACTTGAACGCAAAAGTCCCTAACACTCACCTGGTCTCCTCCTGCAGCGTTGGCGTTTGGGTTGTTGACCGCCTGGACAATGGTGAGTACTTGACCGCAAAAGTCCCCAACACTCACCTGGTCTCCTCCTGCAGCATTGGTGTTTGGGTTGTTGACCGCCTGGACAATGGTGAGTACTTGAACGCAAAAGTCCCTAACACTCACCTGATTGCCTCCCGCAGCATTCGCGTAGTTGCTTGCATTAAGATAGATGAAGCGGTAGCTACGTTGCATCTAACGGTACGTTAGTAGTCGCGTTATTAGACTTACAGTTCCTACTTACGTTTGCCATTGCAAAGTCCAGGTCGATGATGGTAAGAGGAAAAGGACTTAGCCACCGCGGGGCGGGGTTTTTATAAGGACGTTCATTAAATTTCTAACATTGATTTTGATTTTTCTTTGACGGGTCAATTTATTGAAAGTCACTCACATATCCCCTAAGGCGTAGCACTATGTAAATTTCATTATCCATGTCTAGCTTATGTAATCAGTACCGCTTATCCCTACAAAAGCTTGTTCCCATGCTTATGTCATATTTCCCTCTTCTCCCTTTGCACCACCACCTGCAACCTAGTTCATGCAGTGGGTAGCGCCAATCAAGTGTGAGTTCCCGCCTGTAATATTCAACCAGTTGCTGACCACTTGTACATTCAGCTTTCTTGTGCTATTTGCACGCCTTGGGAACGCCCCGCCACTTTTTACCCGGGCGTATACTCTATGTACTTAGATAATAATGCTCGATGTAGAGCTCGACAGGCCATGCATTACTTTACCGTCTTTACAGAAGTAATGCTCGATGTAGAGCTCGACGGGCTGTGCATTACCTTACCGCCGTTACAGAAGTAATGCTCGATGTAGAGCTCGACAGGCCATGTATTATCTTGAATGACCTACCGTACGTAGACGCCCCAAATATCTGCCGGTAGGAAATAACAATATCACGTGAGACTTTTCCACGTTCAAGCATGGGTCTCTGCGGCTCTGCTTATCCCAACCCCTATATGCGACACATAATTTTATATTAACATGCCTCCAGAACGCCATCGCACGCATCCCACTGGGCAAGCAGTGATAGGGGACTTTCTGCATCGCCCTCGTCTTCGCATGCCGCAGGTGGATACATCTCGCTTGAACGGAGAGCAGAAAGATGTATATGATGGGGTGATGGGCGGTGTTGGGACATTTATTACTGGTGATGCAGGTACGTCGCACACTCATGTTAACACGCATTGCTCTCAAGAATTTGTTTCAGGAACAGGAAAAAACATACTTGATGCAGTTCATTATCAACGGCCTTCGCATCAAGTTTAATTGCAGCGACGCTGTCGCTATCACATCTAGCACTGGGGTTTCATCCTTGAAGATTGGCGGTGAGTTCTTTAACTACTGCCCTACATCACTCACGCTGCATCAGGCAAACTTTGCATTCCTGGGCTGGCGTCAGCGGGCAAGAAAGATCGGCAAAAGACATGGTGAAGAAAATCGAGCGAAATGACATCATCAAGGGCAGGTGGCTTTCCGCAAAGGCACTGGTTATTGATGAATGTACGTAGTCCCATTCTTGAGTTGCTCATTCGCTCAATACTACCTTGTAGTGCCCATGATTTCGGGAGAGTATCTTGATATGTTAGATGCGTTAGCGCAAGAAGTCAGAGGCAACCAGAACCCATTTGGAGGCATCCAAGTGAGTATTTCTGAGGTGCCGTTTATCATGTTAACCACGCTTGTCAGGTCATCGGCGTTGGAGATTTCCTTCAGCTTCCCCCCGTGCCATACCCCATACAGAAACTGACCTTTCAAGCTAGTTGCTGGGGTCTACTGTTTCCATCGTTAGTCCGCCTTTGCACAGTGCAACGTCAAGCTGACCGAGGTGAGCGTTCATGACTCCCATTCTTCCATTCTCACATTGCTCCTAGACTTTGTTATGGCTTTGAATAAGTGCCGCACGGGCCAGCTGGACGCCCCCAGCATTGCGTTTTTCAAATCCCTTGAACGCCCAATAGATGCAGCATTCCTTCCCCACATTGACCCTGTGTACTTATTTCCTACCCGCAGGGAAGTCAACCGCATGAACATTGATCGTCTGGGTCAACTTGGGGACATCGCTTTCAAATTTACAGCCCTTGATGACCTCTCAGGATGTTCTGACCGGAGAATCTTCAACGAATTTCCGGTGGACGCGGAGATATGCCTCAAGATCGGCGCCCAGGTCATGCTCCTTCAGAATGTTGGAGATGGACTTGCCAATGGCTCTACCGGCCGCGTGGTGGGATTCTACAAGTCTGGCCAAGCAGATCGCCATCATGAAGGGCGCAAAGTCGGTTTTGTTGCGCCATATCAAGGTCGACGCTAACCGCTACCCTGTCGACTGTTACATCAAGTCTCGCGGAACTCACTAATGTGACTGATTTGTTCCCCTTAGTAGAATTCATGACCGGCGAGGGCCCTGAGTGCGTGCTGGTCCTGCCCAGCGAGTTCTCTTTCAAAATCAAAGAGAAGACCGTAGCCCGGCGTTTCCAGGTATATTCTGCTTTCCTTGCTTCAATTATTGCTAAGACCGATGCAGATACCGTTGTGCCTTGCTTGGGCTCTTGACGGTGCACAAAAGTCAGAGCCAGACTCTTGATAAGGTGGTGGTGGATCTGGGCAGGACGTTTGCAGACGGTGCGTTTCCGCAATACTCTCTCTTTCCAATCTTCATTCTTAACCAGGACAGCTTATGTGGCTCTCTCTCGAGCTAGATCCAAAGCTGGATTGGAGATCAGGCACTTCCAGGAATCAAAGTAAGTCTTCCCTACGTTCGCAGATCATTTCATTCACATTTACATAGGTTTTAACCAACAAAGAGGCGTATGAGTGGTACCTGAGAACCTTCCCAGGCGTTTGATTAGTTTGATCACAGCTTCGGAGATTCGCTATAGAGAATTTTATCATGTTGCAAAAAGAAGATTGTATTACTAGATTCTGATGATGGGCCGCGTCATCACATGCGTATCAGGCAAGACGTGTCTTACTTATATCTGAAGCCGCGCTTAGCAATAGAATACAATTTTCAACCAGAATTGTCATGCCAAGGTCAGCCGTGTACAATTTGCGCTCCGTTGCCGCCGAGCACCTCAATCCCAAACACAAGATGTTACCGAATGGGATACTATCCTGTACTCTCAACAGTCACATCGTCCTCGAGTATTATCAACGACCCCCTCATTGGCCCAAGATCCTTGCGCGCCGCTGGGGACTTCAATGAGTGCGAGCACACCCGAGAACCATGACCACAGGCTGGCGTCCAGCCTCTGGCATGCTTCATTCCTGTGGGTGACCCTTCCCCCTCCGCCGATGCAAAGGCATGGGTGTTTCCAAGACCACATCCCCCAATTCGAGTTGTTCGTGCCCACCTTCGGACGTCGAGGTCGCGTCGCACCCACATTTCTGAAGAAAGTGGAAACTGTGGTAGGCGACATCCTCCGCTGGCTCCCCACTGTGTACGCCATCTGCGGTCCCCCCCCTGTCAATCATTCCCTTCAACTATCTGATTTACAATACCTCGAGTCTTTTTGCGGCGCATACAACGAGGTAGCTACTGAACTATGGAGGGTCCGTCGATCTGTTTTGATCGCTTTGGGGTATATTATCTACTCCTTGAGCATCAAACAGGATTGGCAGGAGCACGCCATCGTCACGGAAGAATTCACCCGCAATATCATATCATCCGGTCTGTTGGACCTACCTCGCCGAGGTGTCATCATCAACGCTCAAGATCCCCCGCCCTTCTCAGAAGTCATCGCATACCTCCAACACAAAGTCCCCGTCTACTACTATTGGAAACCCGGGTCCATATATTGGCTGCGCCCTGCCACCACGCACTCCGCGACCCTAGTTCCAGAGCCCGCTGTTTCTTTAGACGATGAAGAGATTGATGGACAAGAAGTTCTTGCGTGTTCGAAAGGTATGTCTATTTCTTACATTTCATACATTTGCAAGCTTACCATATCTACTACAGCCCTGGAGTCTGCTTCACCTCCCGTCCATCATTCCCCCTATCTACTACAGCCCTGAGTCCCCTTCAACTCACGTCCCATCATTCCCCTTCAATTCATTCCCACCAGCGACTTCATAGATCATTTCAAAGGTCTCATCCCTATCGACAATGACAAGACTCGGTGGATCGTACAATGCTTCAACAAGCCACACGTGTCCTTTAATTCAAGCTTTTGCGTTCCCAGAGTTCCCCTCCCCAGCCACCTCCAGTTCATCACCCGTGGTGAGTTAGCAATTTCCAAACGGACCGAGGCCAGACTCCGTCTATGGCGAACTCAGTACCCCGAAACGCCTCTTTGGTTTTTCTCTTATCACTGCCTCTCTCGCGGGTTGGATTGGAGAGTGTTCACGAGGTTGTCTGATATTTGTGACCCCTCGCTCGCAACTCCCATTCCTAAGCCTTCTTATCTGCAGGAGAATCCTCGGCCTTTGAAAAAGGGGCCATTGCTCCTTGCTGATTATGTCCGCCGTGTTCAGATCCTCCTTCAGCAGCCCCACGCGCGTCGATTTCTCACCATGGGCGGCATCCTCTGGCGTATCGCTTTGCACTATGGACCCTCAGGTTTCTTTTCATCCGCAATCTCTGTGCCATCCGCTGATGCTTCGTTGCACCTCCATTTTGATCAAGGGGCGGATCCCACCGTGGTGGACGACCGCCTTTCTGATGCGGAAATTTCCCTCTTACTTGGCATCACTGAGAATGGCAGCATCTGGCCCACCCTCGAGATTTGGGAGAAAAATGAGCATTGGTCTGGGGAATGGAATGCCAAAGCGGAGAGATGGTTTCAAGCTCATATCCGAGAGATTTCCACTGGTTCCCACTTTGCCATTCGAACGAGGAAGCAATGGAAAGCTACCGTTCGCCGTCACACAGCCGCTGCGCTCAACAATCCCAGAACTGTTGGTACAGAAGCACATGCAGCATGGGTCTGCCTACAATTAGACCGCTTATTCCCCCCTTCTGAATCCCTTATGTCCCTTTAGTTATCTATGTACGCACCTTGACAACTTCTTGAATTCACGTTTTGACTTTGCATTGCCGGTGCAGTCCTTGAGATCCTCGGGTTTCCTTTTAATTCCAATGGGACGTTCTATTATAGATTTACCATATGATAAATACTACCATTCCCCACATCGTCTCAGAACTATTTCCCATGTTCCTTTTACCTGAAGTTCTTCGCACAGTCTGTCAGCTCGTCTTCAACCGAGCGCTTCAGCATAGTTTTACCGACTTCATGAACCTCATGTTGGCTAACAAAGTCTGTTTTTACACGGCCATGCCCCTTCTATGGAAGGAGTTGCCATCGCTGCAACCAATTCTCCACACCTTCCCTTCCAATGTTGTAGTTAGATTTTACAAGGATGCTCAATGGCACTACGTACGTCAATACATTCACACCGACCACGAGCAGGGCTCAATTTACCTTTAGAAACTACGGCGCATCCCCCTAGTATCTGACCAATCCCGTCTACTGATGTACGCCCCCTTCATTCAAGGGATTAGCGCGTGCGGGCGGCCAGCACTCAACGATAGTGCCAACGACACGTTCAAGCACTTGTTTTATGGAAATTTGCCTTTCCCCCACCTTTCCACACTTGAAATGCCTAAGGCTTACCGTGACCGAAGACCCCTCCTTTCATTATATTCACTTTATCGACTACCAATATTTGCAAGTCCTCGAGCTCCCATTCAACGACTGTTCTCTACCGAACATCTTTGATAATATTTT